TGGCAGGCCCAGGCTGGATTCGAACCTGCCAGCTCTGGTGTATGTGGCTGGTGCCCTAGCTGCTGAGCTACAGGCGCTGAGCCCACAGTGTTTTTCTTTACTCTTTTTGTTTTTCTTTTTATTTGATCAACAAATTCAAGTCTGTCGTAGAAGTTTAACTATAAATATGCCAAGGGACAAAAAAGGTTGAAAAACTCTGGTAAAGAATAATATTGAGCACTTAGGGGTTTTTGATTTTCCTATGCAAAATGATTTACATTCTAGCAAAGTAACATTATTAACTACTATGGACTGGAAACTCTTTCCCAGGTTGGATGCTCTAATTTTGGGGCAATCTGGGATGGAACCCTTACCATCTTACTTTACAGGTAGGGAAACTGAGGCTAAGCAGAGTTAAGAGATTTGCTAAAGGCTTCACAATGGCCAAGACTCAGTGCCAAGAGCACACCTGGGTCTGTCTGCCTCCAAAGCCTGAGCTCTTATCTTACCTCATAGGCTGAGCTGCCTTCCTGAGATTGGGGTCATCCCACCATTCCCACCCCGCCATGATTGATGGAGGAAGTGGTTACTGAGCCCTCTGGATAACCACCCTCTGGTCCCTCCTAGCCTCCTCTCCAGGGCCCAGGAATCTCACCTGTGGAAGGAGAAGGAGGGAGAGAAAGCTGGCCACAGTCGAGACAGACTCAGAGTTGTCAGGGCCAATGACAGCCACCACGCGAGGCACATAGTAGGTATAGTCTGCCTGGATGGGCAGGAAGTCGTCCTGCGCCATGAAGTAGAGCACAGGATGGATATTGTTGGACACGTAGCACACGTCTATCATCTCGTAGCCCAGCAACACTCCAGGCAGCAGGCTGCTCTGGTTGTTGATCTCCTCCACTGCAAAGCGCATGGCTTGCATTAGGTTGTAGCCCAGTACCTTCATCTCATACCTAGAGGGGCCACAAAAAGGTGAGGTGGGAGCAGGTCCAGAGCAAGCAGGAAAGGGATTGAGAAAACCAGCCTGTTCCTCCTCCCTGCCACAAGGAAGCCAAAGCATTGACCAAGAAGGAGCCACTTCGGATTCTGGCATTGTTATAATACCATATCCCTAAGGTCACCATCATCCCCATGATCCACATGACCCCCTTCAATACCATTCCTATAACCTTGATCCCCACTTTACCACTATCCCCTGACATAACCACCATCACCCACTATAACTTCCATCATCACCATCACCCCATCCCCATCATCACTCATTATCCCCATTACCAATATCCTGCCAATTCCCTCACTGTCACATCACCACCACTACCATGACCATCATCACCACCACCATTACTACCATCACCATTATCATCATTATCATCATCACCACCACCATCTCCACCAGGACCATCATCACCACCACCAT